ACTACAACAAACAAAACACTCAGCAGCCTCTCTTCATTCCTGCTTGAAACAGAGTTGTGGATATGGGTGGAGATGGATGTAGTTCCTCATCAGTGCACACATACTGTGTGTGAACTTTTCAGATAATTCAATTGACTGCAAATAATGAGTGTTGAAATAATTGAATTCCGCGCTGAATTTCTCACCGTTTTTTGAAGTGTTGGAAATCCATTACCGTGACAGCCCCAGTGAAGGTGCTTAATTTATTTGCCTCTTTAACCTCCAAACTAGACAAAAAGGAATACCGAAGACAAATCAAACCTAATTTATGCAAAGACCTGGCACAATGCTGTGGTAGATCATGAATACATCAGCGAGAAAAGGCTCTCAAACAAAGTTTGACAGAATGAAAGGGGGAGGTTTTACGAGTCCAAGGCTTGCACTTAGTGCGACAGCGCCTGTGCGTTATGAAACACTCTCCCAAGTAGCTTCACTGCTATTTACCTCATCACTTTAAACGGCGAATAACGATGAGCAATTGCCAAAAGCAAGTGTCACTCACAGGGTATAGATGAACTGAATATCGAGCAAAAGGGGAGTTAATGGCTTCACTCTGCATCCACATAAGTGACAAAGTGCGTGGTGAGGGTCTGTGGCGGCGTGTGTGTTTGAGTGTGTCGTGTGCATGCATCTATTTGTGTCCGTCTATGTCTGTGATCTCTGTAGGGCGCGGTGGCGATGCTGTGCTTCCCTGCAGACTCAGTTTGGGATGCCATCCAGAGCTCAGCTTCAGCACCAGCTCCCTCACACACACACAGTCACACCCGCCCACGCAGTTTCTCCTGCAAACACACATGCACTCTTACACCTGCCTACGCATTCTCTCTCGTGGATGCAGATACACAAGACACACATACACTTTTGCAAGCGTCTGTGGCGGTGCATAAGGCTCCAATTAGTTTTGACACGTCTGGGGTTTTTGGTTGCGGGGTTCAGTGCTAACATTATTCCTCTGGTCTGGGCAGGGCGTAACAGAAGTGTGCGTGTGTCTGTGTGTAGCAGTGTGTTTATCGATGCATATTTTTTCCAGTGTGTGTAGGCGATGCTTGTTGTGATTGTGTGATTTTAGTATGCATACGTGTGGGCAGGTGTGATTTTGTGCATGTGAACCCTTGGGTGCCTGGGGGGAGGGGATCAGTGGCTCGCTGCAGCTCTAACGTCAGGGTGTGGAGGCCAGCTCCATCTCACACGTGACTCTCATGGATACAGAGCTGCTCCAGGGTGTCTCTGTGAATGTCAAACCTGCTATCTGACACTTGTGCTGCCGGCGTATGTGTATCACAGGCACAACACCTTAATTCATATCTTTGTGTTTATTAATGTGAAAATAAAAATTACACAGACACCTATAGTGTCCGCTTTGTGGCAGCTTCAAATCAGTTGAAAGAAAATAATTGTAACAGTGCCAATAGTATGTTTGATGCTCTGTAGGGTGTCTTTAATATCTGTCAGGAAGAAAAGAATAGCCAGGTTTTATTAGTTTTTGCTTTGATGAGACTTGAAGATTATTGGTTATTTACACTGGGAGCCAGGCTTGATTAAAAGTTCTCTCTGTTTGTCTGCCCACCTAACGCAGAAAAACAAAGCTCTCACTGTGGCTATATAGACTTAAACAGGTTCAGGAGCTACTTTAAATCCCTGTAGCACTGTGAGTGACACTCAGGGCTTTCAAGCCTTTGTGTTAACAGAAATAATGCATATCATGCCTTTATTCATTTGCATCCCAGCCCACGGGAAGTGTTCCAGATACGTGCTTTACTAAGAATAGTGAAAGAAAAAGAATAATGTATTATTTTATAGATTTCAGAGCTCAGGCTTTGCTGCCTATACTGACTTTATGTGCTTTCGAAACATATTCACATATAATAAAAGCAAATATGAAGAAATAGAAGTAGCATGACTGTGGTGACCAAGGACCAGGTTTTGCTGGACTGCAACATTTGGCAAAAATTCCACAATAACCGTAAACTATATTGTACTTAAAGAAAGAACACTAGATTTCTACACTTCCTCTTGGATCTGTTTTTAGTAGGGATGCATGGGAATATCGGTACATCGTCGGCATCGGCTGATATCGATATCGAGCTATCAGAATCGGCCAACGTGCTTTTTCTTAATTTGCACAATGAATGAATATCACATAAACTGAAAAGTATTGTATTTCATGTCTCCATCTGCTGGTGGGCCGTCATGATAAGAACATAATATGATGTTAATGCCACTACAGAAGAGACGGTTGTCAGTCAAATGAGTTGTTATATCGGCATATTTGATATTGGCAAAAAAAAATCCAATATCGTGCATCCTAGTGTGGACCTTGAACTAATGACTAAGGAGAAATCTGGACCTGTTGAGAACCACTGTATTCAGAGACCTGGATACAGTGTGGGAGGCAGGGCTCTGTTAATTTCTATGAAAGTTGCTCAGTGGCGCATGGAACCAAGATTTCTATTTCCACGGTATGAAATTACCTGGATGATTGGCACTGCCTCCGCAACATTGGGCCCATAGAGCAAACGCTCTAGACATGTCCACCGCCCGAGCCGCTTACTTCCGATTTCGCACTCCACTAACTTAAATGGGAATACAGTGATTTAATCTTGTGGCTCTTCTAGTCTTTTCAAATGTTATCAGATTGAATGGATTCAATTCTGATATTGAAATAAGTCATTTCATGGGGGTTATGACACTAAAAAAAAAGCATCCTCTCTTTCCCAATTAAAGTCAATCACGTTACGAACCCCAGAAATTGCAGTGCCACTGTTTCGCCACTATGAAATTGGCTTCAAAGCTCGGTGCACTTCTTCGGGGCCTGGAATTTCCCAAAATGTCAAACCGTTCCATGTTAGTTGTTACATATTGGCATGTTGGATATCAGCAAAAAATCCAATAAAAAAAATCTAGCCAGTGACGGGACTTGCAATCACAGCTCATTTCAGAGAGCAGGTGTTCCCATTGGCAGTTCCACAAATGCCGATGTGAAAGCCTGATTCAATGTTGAAGAATCCCACAGAGAAAGTTGCTATTCCAGCATTGGCAACAACCGCCCACACTGCAAAGCAACCCGAAAAAAGAAGACGGACAAATCAAAGACAGTCTAAAAGAAAGTCTGGGAATTAAAAGAATAAAACATTTGTCAATATCGGCCATAGACTGTAAAAATAATGGACGTAGCCACCCGGACGTCACCCATTGGTTTGTGGACGGCCGTTTTGAGGCCTCAAGACATGCAAATGTATGCGAATTTTTGGACTGTATCGATAAAAGTGTTACAGAGATGGAGAGAAAATGTTGCTCATAGTTTAGCCTCTGCTAACCGAAGCCTAAGACTATCGGCTTCGGCTCAAAGTTCACATTTGTCTAGCTAACGTTAGCTAGAGCTTGAATTACAGTGTGTCATCAGCCTCGTTCCCTTATTCCACAATTAAAAAGGAAAATAAAACACAACCGTCTTCACAGTTCAGACTATTCTCACATTAGATATATTACTATGTTGTAGGAAAGAGAATACAGGTATAATCAGTATCATTAGCAGTGGCTCTGTTTCCCAATAAATCATGCAGCTCAAACAGCATGAGCAATACCAGGACCCTGAAGTGCCACATCTACATTTAATGCAGTCGATATTATTGTTATTTATTCCACCTGTGCTCTTCCTGTTATGATAGCAGAAGAGCCAAAGCACATTGCACATCATCGCTCAGAGGCATCATGTTAGCTAAATGCAGCTTCACCGTCTTTGGTTCTGATTCAATAATCTACGAATGAGTTTGATAAGTGAGTCACGTCAGGATATTGTGTGGTGACTTGTTGTCGTTTTGTACGTTTGACTCAGAACCTAAATTGCTGTTTGAGTACAGCACTTGAGTAATTAGACAGAGCTCATCACTGCGTGGACAGAGCTGTCTGGGATGGCCTTGCTAATCAGGCCACTGTGTCTCTGTCATTTCAGGAAGTAAAGGGGTTTTTCGGACGTCCTCTTGCTTCTAATTTAGCTTCACCTCCCTCTGCTCTCCTTCAAATCCACCACGTCGTGTCCTCTCCTTTTGTCTTCTTGGCCCTTCACTGTTATCTTGCCTTTCCCCTCTGTGCTAATTTATATCACTTCACTCGGCCCACGTCTTTTTCACCGCTCCTCTCCTCACCTTTACTTTCCATCTTCCCCACAGACTCTTTTCCAACTACTGTCATCTCCCCTTCACTGTGTCGCTCCCTCCTGACCTCTCTCCTCTCTTCCTCCCACTCTCCTCGCAATAAGCACTGCAACGAGGATCAATATTGGATTATTGTGTTTGCCATTAGCCTCTGGGTTGACAGTGTAATTGCCTTCATCCACCAGGGTCTCTGTAAGTCCGACCCCACCAGACCTGCATTTGCATTTCCACAGAGGATCCTGGATGACCTGTCCATCAGAGAGCCACAGAGATTTAGTCATGATGGTGAGAATCAGAACATGAGCCCTCGCCTTTGTCCACCTTTCCACATCTCCATGTCTGCACCGAACACTGGCGAGTCACTGTGTCCAAGGTGCAGGCAGGACCGAGACCTGTGAGAGTTAATAAGTCAGAATCTGTTAATCATCTTCCAGGACAATTTTTCTCCTCAGCGCCAAGAGCTACCTGCTACCCCCGCCGGATAACCACAAACATTCCTCAATGCGTGGCTCTTATGATTTTATATGTTTCACACTTTCCAAGTATGAATATTTATGCTGCCTTCAAGCACTCAGTGTTTTCCAGTCTGTGTCAAAATCAATGCCCGCAAATCTGCCACGTCCTCAGGCGCACACACAACCTGTTCTTCATTAGGTTTATAATCAAAAGATGGCTGCCTTTCACTCAGTTGATCAGAGACTTGAAGTTTTCAGATTGTTAATGACCTTGTTTTTCTCTCTCTCTCTCTCTCTCTCTCTCTCTCTCCCTCCCCGTCTCTTTTGTATCCTCTTTGTTTTTCCCGCTCAGGGCCGCTGCACGCGAGAGAACTGCAAATACCTCCACCCGCCCGCTCACCTGAAGACCCAGCTGGAGATCAACGGGCGAAATAACCTGATCCAGCAGAAGACAGCGGCCGCCATGTTGGCTCAACAGATGCAGTTCATGATCCCTGGCACCACCATGCAACCTGTGGTTAGTCCTGGCCTCTGCTGCTGTGGGAAATGAATCAGTGCGGTGTGACTCACTGTGAAAATAGCAACTCTGTTGTTGTGCTATGCTGTAAAAAAAAAACACTGGATTTGTTCCTGTTAAAACATGCAAATTTTCTTTAAGTGTCATGGGCTTGGCGTTAGGGCAGGGTGTCATTTAAAGTGATACAGGTACCTCATCCAATGGCCATAATGTAAATGGAGTGGAGTGTTGACATACTTTTTTTGGCAGCTCAGCCACCCAGCCACACGCACCCAGTGACAGGGCTAACTGTTAGCATCACACGGCTAACGTTACCTACCTAATGACAAGAGTCGAGCTGTGTCGGTGTCTGTGTGAGTTTATTGGGGCCGTTTAGTGGCTCGGTGTCTTGTGTGACCCCTGCTGCTGTGTTAGCTCCGGCTAACCGGGCAAGCATTGAACTGATGGTTTAGCGTGAGGAAAGCGTTGATAAATGAGGTGAAAGAAAGTAAAACATCTGTCCTGTCAGCATGAGCTAAGTACCACAAGTAACACAAGTACCAACGCCTAGATTTTCAGATTATATTTCAGGCTAAAAGATCATGTATTTGTCCTCACAGTAATTATTGAGAAGGCCTTGAGCAAAGCACAAACCTCTCCCAGCTCCTCTCTGCTCTGCAGTCAGCGGTAGACTGTGGTTGCGCTGGGCAGCTGCCAGGTGTGAGCGTGTTTTAACTGCATCAACGTAAGGCTGGGTGTTGCTGAAAAAGAACACGCTTGATCAGCAAAAATCTTCCCGGGATACATAGAGGTTAAAAAAAAAACCTTCTTCTCTTGTTTCTACCCTCGCTACGATCTCTCTGAAACCTATTCCTCTCTGTTCCCATGGCTCCCCCTCTCTACCTGTCTGTCTCACCCAGCACTCACACAGCTGTGCCCTCTGTTCGTTTGTCTCTAGTGTAGTGTTACCCTCCACTTAACGCCATCCCTCCCTACATCCATCATTTTACATCTCGTCCCCGACTAATTAAGAACACAAAAATAGCCGGAACAAGACAATAAAAACAGGCAGGAGATCTTAACGAGCAGTCATGACAACACTGACGACTTTCTCTCCATCTGCAGCAGACGTTCCCGGTCAGCCAGGGCCTGGGCTCCAGCGCGGGTCTGAGCTACACCCCCTACCTGACTCCCATGTCCCACAGCATGGGCCTGGTGCCCACAGACATCCTGCCCAGCTCGCCTGTCATCGTCCCCGGCAGCCCGCCTGTCTCCGTCACCGCCGGTTCCTCCTCCAACCAGAAACTGCTGCGTACCGACAAGCTGGAGGTGACCCGCACGATCACACGCAACAAAAGCATACACGTGTGACATAATGACTTTCTACATACAAAAAAACACTATAAAATACTATCTGTCTCCCTGGTTACCACAATAGTTGGCATAGCAACAACTAAAACACACACATATGCACATCTTTAACCTTTAAATGAACTTTCTGAATGCAGATACTCGTATAAATTGTCCTAGATTCAAAAGGATCAGCACATTTTCAGCAATCTGTTTCATAAGCAACTAATTAATGATCTGAATAAAGAGATTTTGAAGTCGCCTTTTGAATAAACTCCAAATAAGCAATTCAGGCTTGTAAAAAGTAAAAGAAGTTTTGTGTAGCTGCGGTATTTATTTCTAAGATTTGAGCTCAAGGGCTGAAAGGCACATGAGATGTATCTTTTCATCTGAACAACACTATCAGATGGTTCTTTACCCCTGCGTTATCCTTGAGCACGAGTTAAGGAACATCTGATTGTGTTATCCCTTTAAGAAATAATTTAAGAAACTAGATGTGGAGAAAAAAAAAGGTGTAAGATTACAGTAATTTAAATTGGAAATCGCTCACTGGTACCTGCCAGACAGACACAGTTAGACCGGGACAATTACGACAACTTCATAATCTCCATCTGCCCCCTGGCAAACAGCGCTGAATGAGAATAGATTGGTGATTGAGGAGAGTTTTTTTTCTCCACTCCATTTTTAAAGATAAACAATCTCCCCAAGACCTGAAGGTGATGCGTAGGTGTGTGGCTGTATGTGTTTTTCTGCGGGAGTGCTATCACTTAGCAACTGAATGAAATTGGCTCTAATGAAACAGTGTCCCTGCGAGACATGTATACACTCCTACACACGAGCAGCATGTGTGTGCACACGTGTTAGTGTGTGTTGGTCAAAAGCAGATCCACATGCGATTATGCTCAGACCTCTGAACAGACGCCTGGTTCAGTGATACCTTACACCCATTTCTGTCTTTTCCAGGGGGGGCAGGGGATCTTTAGAGGGAGATATCAGTGGTATACATCGTCTGGAAGATTCATTTTAGCTGCTGCTCAGCACTGTGTCAAGTTTTTCTAGTCATAAATATGTAATGAACATTGTGCTTTGATTAGGTGCCAATTCAAATTTTAGAAGTTTAGAGTGTATAGAGGCTTAGAATATCGTGATGGAAGAATATGATGGCCATTCTCATGCGCAATAGGGCTGCAACTAACGTTTATTTTCATTGTCGACTAATCTGTCAATTATTTCTTCCATTAGTCGACTAATCATTTTATCGAAAAATGTGTTCAAATGTTGAAAAATGTCGGCCTGTCTCTCCCAAACCCCAACATTATGTCGTCTAATGTCTTGTTTCGTACTCACCCCAAAGGGTTTAAGTTCACCGTCATGGGAGAGTGTGTAAAGCTGCCAGTATTTGAACGTAAGAAGCTGCAATAAAAGTATTTTGGGGCACTTTTATAGTCCTTCTCTATGAAAAATGACTCAAACCGATTAGTTGACTACTAAAGTAGTCACCGATTATTTTAATAGTCGATTAGTCATCGATTAGTTGACTAATCGTTGCAGGACTCATGCTCAGATATGTCTCATAAGTTGTTTGTGACCACCTGAGAACTTACAAAAATGGTCAGAAATCCTGACACACATTAAGACACCAAGACCCTGAGGAACACCACTGAAAAATACATGCTGTGATTTGGCATCAAAAACTTTTGATATTTGGAGATTTCTTGAAGAACTGGACTTTTACGTGGAAAAAATGGAAACTGCTGACAAACCCCCCTGTTGTCAATATACCTATGTAAGCCATCCATCGTCTGAATGCTCGAGGTCTTTAGTAGGGCTGTAGTCAACTAAAGAAAATGTTCGGCAACTGAATTTCCACCATCTTTTCGTCCAAACGATTGACTTATTATTTTTAATCCATTATCCAGCTAACGTTAAAGTTTCTTTATGCTTCTGCGTACACTCGATGCAACGTGCATGCAGTTGCTCCGCAGTTGCTGTGTGCCTATCATAGTTCTGTGTCCTGTTGGTCTATGTCGCTATGCAATTCCCCGCCAAAGCGCTTGGGGGCGCGGTGTTCTTTTATATACCTACCTAGACTCTGTGACGCCTATGGTCGTTGCTCATTCATTGGTCATTTCCGCACCAAATGCTCTTCAACTTGATCCAACCGATCACAATGGAGACTTTTGAAAATGGCAATGTTGTGGTACTGCAGCAGGAAGTGACACCTTGCAAAATGCCGGACATGATGTAGTTTGAAGGACCAATCATAGCTCTTGCGGTCTGCGTTTCCTCGACGCGTGGTTACAATTTTTTGGAGGCACACGTCACATCTCTGCGTAAGTTGCAGAGGGATGCAGTGCTGTTGCAAAGCCCTCTGCGTCGTAGGTACGCAGAAGCATAAACCTTGCTTTAGTCATTGTTCTGCTCCAGCAAGGACTCCGGTGTGATCGCATCCTTTTCATAAGCTTTACAGTCTTTTTGTAAAACCTACTAAAATTAATCCACAGTGATAAAATCCGACACTGTCACCAGCCAGCCAATCACAGTTGAGAAGGGGCGGGACAAGCACAGAATAGACCAACCGTCACAGAGGACAGACACAAGCGCTGAGCAACAGCTGGCATTTTTCAGCTGGGGAAAGAAACGCTTTGGTGGACACATAAAGTGACACCAGCGATTGTTCAACCTAGCATAACAACCAACCAATTGACCAACAGACGGACCCCAGTCTCCAGTTGGTGGCTGTAAGCTTACTGAGTCTACAAGAGTCACAGCTTTCCAGTCATATCCAAATTTATGCAACTCCAAGCCTGTCTAGGGACCCAGTATGCAGAAATATTCAAATACAGTAGGTGATGTTAACACATTTGTACTGCATGAGAGAAATGGCACATTTGTTGCCCCAACAGCCTGGGACCAGCATAAAGTGAGCATGTTTGTAAAGCAGAGACATGTTGGTACCCATGGAAACTATTGTCACTATTTAGCCCAACTTGGGAGCATTGTTTAGTCTGCTTCCGTCGAAGTTAGCATGATTTTTGTTATTTTGTACAAAGATATGTATCAGGATTCTCATTTTCAAAAAGAGTCACACACCAAAATGTCAAATACTTAAAAAAAAAAAAAATCTAATGTCATTAGGATGTTGATGGCTGCTTGAGCTACTGTTCTGGGTGGTTGATCATGCGCTGCAGTCAGAGGATGACAGGAAATACAAATAGAGTTGAACGCAGCCGATGATTATTAAGATGTTTCTGTTGTGTTATTGTTTCCTGACGTTTTCTGGACGCTCAGATATTCACAGTGTGTCTGTGTGTATTTCTGTGCTCTCTCTTTTTGCATACATCGCTCTGTCTGTCCACATCTGTGTGCGTGTGTCCGCCTGCCTCTCCTGCTCCCAGGTGTGCCGCGAGTTCCAGCGGGGCAACTGCGCCCGCGGCGAGACCGACTGCCGCTTTGCCCACCCGAGCGACAGCCCCATGATCGACACCAGCGACAACACGGTCACCGTCTGCATGGACTACATCAAGAGCCGCTGCTCCCGCGAGAAGTGCAAGTACTTCCACCCCCCGGCCCACCTGCAGGCCAAGATTAAGGCCGCCCAACACCAGGCCAACCAGACGGCTGTGGCTGCGCAAGCCGCCGCCACAGCTGCAGCCATGGTGAGAGCGCGGCACCACAGCCTGCCTATTGTACCCTGTGCCTACAGACACACACACAGTTGTCCTTGTAGTAGCAAAACAAATCTCACAATTTCGAGAACATATAGAGCTTGTAAGGTCTGCACGGGACAATAAAAGTATTTTATGGCGCCTATACACAGTTTACCCTGAACTTTCTAACAAGAGCTTTCATTGTAGCACCCAGGGAGGCTTTATAGGGCACAAACAAGTTATTATTGGAGCTTTTATAGTTGTGGAAGAGCAGGTACATACAGTATTATTCACACGTAAAATAGCAAGTCATATAAGCTGCCTGTTTTAACACAAAGCACAGATTGTGTAAAGCGGAGATCCAGGAATACACACTGTAACCATCAGCTGATCGAACCCAGCCTGACAACAAGTGCTTTGTTAGTTTCTGTCCATCCCTCTTGAGCACACGTACTGTAGGCCCACTGATCACAATCATGTCATCACGGCTTCTATGTAAACACGTGCTGCCGATGATGATGATGATGATGATGATGACACCCACGGTAACATAAAATGTGGAGCGCTGCTTTATTGCTGTATAAAAACACACCCACCTCTGCTGGCTGATTCTAGTGGACTCCGGTGTACAATAGTCATCCCAAAGTGAGGCCGTTGTATACAATAAACAGGGTTTAGCGAGACCTAAATGCACCGGTATAATGCCGCAAGAACAATCTGTTATTATCTCACCGCAGTCCGCTTTTATTTTCCAATGCCCTTGGTTCATACAGAGACAATGTGCTGGTTCACCCCCCCCTTCCATCCCACCTCCCCCCCTCCTGCTCTCAATGATAAGTGCAGCTCTCTGCAAATCAGTGTAAATTGAATCGGGGATGGACGAGGATGTAGCCTCGCGGGTGGGGGGTTAACCCTCCTCTGCCTTTAGTCGGAAAAATCCCCCAACAGGCTGACGACAGACAGATGGAAATGCAGACACACAGACAGCGGGAAGGGTTTGGCAGTGTGTCTTTGGCTGTGCCCCACCCTCCCCCAGGCTCCTGAGCTGAGTGGCTTCTTTTTGAATGGTCTTTTTGGCTGCTGCACTCCTGCACACCTTGTCCTGCGCCAGTGTGCTGACTGACTCTCTCCTCCTCCATGGCATGGGCATGCTTTTACGCATCGCACACACCTCTCTCTCATTGGCTGGCTCCATCGCTGCTTGCTCTCTTTGTCCTTCCTGCACACGTCCACAGCGTGAAGTCGACTGCGGGCGCAGGTTAGTTTTGTGCATTTCGTAGCAGGGGAACCGGCAAGGGATTGACGCATGCATGAATAAAAAAAGAGCCTGAGACCTGATGTTGACCCTGAAACACACTGAGTACTTCAGCTTCCCCTTCAGGTACACAAAGCTTCATCAGACAAGAACCTGTGTTCTTCATTTATCAACTTTATGGCCCAATTCCCAATTTACAGCAGTTGAAGCTGCGGTAGAGGTGAGCAGGGTTAACTTTAGGACAATGACTTGTTTAGTCAGCACCTTTAATCCAATTTTCTTGTAGCCCTTAGCCTAAGCTGAAGCACTTTTATTGAAGCAGAGACCCATAAAACCTGTTTTGCTGCACTGCTGCAAATAGCTAATATCATTACCCATAACTCAAGTTTTTTTTTTGTTGTTGTTGTTGTTTTTTTTTTAAATCTAGCAAACAGTCTACTGTAGATAAGGTTACACACGAACAGATACAGTTACAGTAAGACAATCCTATTACTGAGATTATGTTGTTTTACTGTGCCACATTATGTGCTGCTTGCCACGCTGTAATCTCCTCCCTCATTGCCAGGCGAATGCAGTCATCTTTGCTTTTCATATCACTTTAATAGACCATCTTCCATTTGAACTAACCACGGTGATTAACGCTACGGCGCATCAGCTTGTCGCTCTCTAATAGGGACACATATTGTCACACGCCAGTAGGAAATCCACATACATGAAGCAAGAGGCTTGTGCATGGACCCCCTTTAAGTGCTGTGCTCATCACATCCATGTCATTTTTTTTTCTTCCCCTCTCAGCGTGACATTTATAATAAATTAAAAGATCTGTAAACACATATTTGTATGTAGGAGGAATGTAGGAATAAACAGAGCTCCACATTCTGTGATTTAACTTTAACTCACACGCCACCTCCCCATTGATCGCACTAACAAGCCACACGATGTAGTTTGAGGGTTTGTCACTTATGTCGAGCGCTAGACGTGAGATGACACCCGTACAAAGACAGGATGTTATCGCTAAACGACTTCTAGGATTGTGAGGACTACTTATTGTCGCTGCCACGCGGGTGACAGCGTTTCAACAGCCTCTTGCAAGTCATAGTGTTTTTCCCAGCTCTTGCGGGCAGCTGTGAGGGCAGAGTTCAGTAATTCGAGGGGCTTTGACCACTCACATCCCAATCTGCCGTGGGTGTTTTAGGCCCAAAACAACTTCCAGGAGCACTGTAATTACTGTGTGTAGCACTTCTCTGAAATCTGTAGAGAACCTGTGTTCAGATCTCACACCAAGTGCCAGTATTTCTAGCCTCAGTTGTGTTTACTGCATTTTCTTCTTGCGTAGATATTAAACAAAAAAGTTGATTTACTTGTTGACAAGTAGCTGACGTTACTAAATGCTTTCCCAGTAGTTTTGAAATACATCATAGACTCTTGCTTTTTTTAACCAAAGGTTAATGTAGATGCTTTTTTTTTGCTTTTTGTACTAATTCAAAAAGTAGCAATGTTTCCTTTAAAGTAAACAAAACAGTTTTTTGTTTATGTGCATGCCTATTGTTTTGTATGTGGTATACTTGCATTCAGATTATTTTTGTTTTTGTTTTTTTCCTTCTCACCTATCCACAATGCAATGCTGTCCCCCATGACGCACCTCTGCTTGCTGTTACCTGTATGTTAATACGCTTGAATCCCATTGGCCCACTGCCATCATGTGCTCGCTGCCTGCTAATTAAAGACTCAGTCGACTGCCAAAGCAATGAAGCGACCCCTCGAGGCAACTGTAGACCTGGTACTTTGACCTTTCACCTTTTGCTTTGCATGTAGCTTCTTTAATTGTACTGTAGCCACTCACAAAATTTAAGTTGGCTCTTTTGTTTTTTGTGAAACCCTGTAAGACACTTTAAAGTATAAATATTTATCATTTATGATCGCCAGTGGCAACTCTAGACTGTACTGTACATTTATGAAACTACACTGTAATGTTAAAGTAATTCACACTGTTTGATTTAATGTGTTGTTGATGCCTTGCTATGGTGTAGTTTCTCATTGTCCTTGTGATAGTTACAGCAAGTTTCCATGTTTGCCTTGTTGTGCTGTGCATAGACAAATAACAGATTCACAAATATCAGTGTTGACTTGTGTAAGTACACAGATCAAATCTACTGTGCTTCTGTTGTGCGTGTGTGTGCGTGTGTGTTTTTGGTGGTGCAGGCGTTCCCCCACGGCGTCCTCCAGCCCCTACCAAAGAGACAAGCACTTGAGAAGAGCAACGGAGCGAGCTCCCTGTTCAACCCCAGTGTTTTGCACTACCAGCAGGCGCTGGCCAACGCACAGCTCCAGCAGCCAGCTTTCTTTCCCACAGGTAAGAGCTCCCGATCGATACACACGGCACACACACGCACTCATAGGTATGCGGAGCATGCAGGCATACACACACAGACGCAGGTACACTCACTGAATGTGCTCGGCTAACCTTCTGTCCATCATAAATGTGTCTTTTTGGAGTTTTTAGTGATAAAGTGAGAGCACTAGTTGTTGTTTATTTAGATTTTGCTGTTATTTATTCCCCCTTTTGTGCCAGAAACAAAGAAATCTTCATTATAAGAAATAACTGTTTTAAAGTCAATTGGCCCTTCATTACACTACATTTAAATAAGCACAAAGTCAGCCATGCATTTATTACCCAGCTGGCCACCAACATCTTTAGCTGTTGATATGTGGTTGAATTTAGGTTGTGACCAAAATTAAGGCCTTGTTTACACGGATAACCTTCCTGTATAAAAAAAATTCCGGGTTTACACGATCAGCTGTGAAAACGATATCACTGTTTCCACGAAAACGCAGAAACTGCAGCTTTTTGCTGCAATTAGCATGCCAGGCCAGAAGAACGTTCTGCGCATGCACAGTGATTTGCTGTCCTCTTTGCGATAGTGATAGTGATAGTGATAAACAATGATAAACTACATTTTAACCTTGTGTAGCATAATTAGCTGCTTTGCACTTACTAATATTGGGCACAGCAGACGTCTTTGTTCGCCGATGTAGCGGTGATGTTGATGCAGCAGTGCTAAGTTCATTTGTAAGCTCGTAAGTAGTCCCTCAAGTGCTAACAAAACGTAAACAACCCGGCATGTGTCCGCCATTGTTGTTGTGGTTCCTGGGCGTCTAACGGACATGTGCGAACTGGGTTGCAATGTCATCGTTTTCCAAAATATCCGTCTATCCTGTTAACACGTCTCCATAGGAACAAATATTTTTAAAAACTTTCACTTTGAAAATCTCCGTTTTCGTCGAGAAAAACGCAGGTTACGTGTAAATGATAGGTGCAAACGCGAAGATAAATACCTGTTTTCAGAAATATCCGGAACCGTATAAACAGGACCTGAATATCAGCACTGTCAGTGTGATGTAGGATACTCAGGAGTCGTCCAAACATGTCATGCCAACCTCATCTTGACGTAGAATAACAAAATTTAGTCATAAGATATGAAAAAACAAAAAGTTTCCTGTCAAAAAAATCTAAATTTCAACGTTCACATTTAAACAAATCATGAGAATGTTATAATTTTTCTTCACCCAGCACTCATTTTTACTGAAGATAGCTTGAATGCATCATAATGTAACTCAACTCAGCCTCCAGTAGCTGTTCGTTCCGACCACTAGCCGCTAACTGCTACAAGCTAACGTTAACTAGCTCTCCTGCACATTTCAGCTGGGATTTATTGTTGACAATGTAGCATCGATAGTGAGTTTAGTGCGTCCTTTTGTCCTGAAAGCGTCCTAGGGAAGATCTCTGCTTGTCCCAAACACATTTTCTATTAACCCAAGACGATGGGGTGTCGTTAATCTGCCGAATATCGGCTGATAAATCAGTGCATTCCTTTTCTTTTGAAAGGTATTAATTGCACTGACGCACGTAAGGAGCCCTGCTGTGATGTGTGTGCTAATATCTCAACTGCTTCCCTAAACTTTGATCTGATGCCTGCCAATATAAACACATAATGGCAGCCAGGTTGAAGGGCAGTGTGCGCTTTGATCAGAGCAGTAAAAGATCAGTTGTTTCTAACACCAAGGCTCTGTAACTATGTTGAAGCACCAAAACTTTAAGCCTTTAAAAGGACATACTGATTTATAATTTTGAGCAAACGCAGCCTTTTTAGTGTGTATTTAACGTTGATATTATGATATAATTTCCCCACATTAATTCAAGTCTGCTCCTCTATTCCTCTTCACTTCTCCCCCCCCCACATTAAAAGCACTCTCTGTCAACTCCTCACAGAAGCTAACAGTAGCTTAAGCCCCCTCGGGTCACCCGCTAAATGAGTTAACCGCAGCTAAAGTATTAGCCTGTAGCCACGATGAGTCATAAGGATGAGAGTCTCATCCCTCACTCTTCTCTTTACCTGCTCCCCTTGTTTCCCCGGTGGTGTGAGATGCCTGACAGCCCCTCAGTCCTCCCTCCCTCCGTCTGTATCCGTGTGTGGGAAGTAGCCCTGGGTGAAAGTCGTGTTCGCAAATTATGTTGTTGCAGATCTGCTAAGTTTCAGATGGGTGGGGGTTCCCCACCCATCTGAAACTTAGCAGATCTGAGTGGAGGCCTGTGCATATTGTTGTACTGATGCTGCTCGGAGTTTTGTGGCCTAGAAGATTACAGGAAAGTATTGCGATGAGCTGCTTGTCGACCAGTGGAAAAATGTTTAACGTTAGCTGTTAGCTCGACAGTCATAAAATAAAACACACCAAAACCATCTTAATCAGTCTTGTCAGTCGCCTACTCCTTTAACAATCACCAACTCCAACTCCATATCCCACAATGCACCTATAATCGCTAGTGTTTCCTCACTAATGCTGTCACTGCATACGGGAGCTCCTCTGCTTGCTACTGTTACCTGCATTCACACCTGGCTGACAGCACCACTGTAGCAGTAGCATCTGAGTTTTGTTTTGTCTTGTCTAACCTTGTTGTTCTCCTCCCTCTTAATTAACCCATTTATTTCCACTCTCTCTCTCTCTCCCTCCCCCTCTCTCCCTCTCTCTCTCTCTCTGTCTCTCTCTCTCTCTGCATGAACACAACAGGGTCAGTCTTGTGCATGACTCCTGCTAGCAGTCTTGGTAGGTCCTGACCTTCCCTTTGCTCTCTCACACACACTGTTTGATGTATACGAGTGGGGAGGGCAGGTGGGAGGGGGGTGGTATCTGCAGCCCTTGCAGGTGAGACAAAAGGTCATTGCTGCGGTGGCGATGAAGCTTTAAAATGTGCTCAAGGTATTTGTCATGAAACTGATATGAAATATGTCCGATTTGTGTCACCTGAAAGAGTTGTGACTTCCTTGTCTCCCTGCTGACTTACTCACTAATGACTGTGTGTTCATGATGAAAGTCGTAGATCAAATACTGCAGACTGATCTGTTCTTGAGCTGTAGGATAGCGACTGTCTGTTTGCTGTGCTTTGTTGATCAGGAAATTTAAATCAGGTTCCCAGAGAAGTTATTTCAGCCACACAGCTGGAGCGTTTGTCTCCGCTAAAAGGGGGATGGGAATCACAAAAAAAGTCCCAGTCGGCCACATTAATAAACAGGAACATGATGGTTTTAAACATCGATCTATCACAGATGCATGTTTCTGGCATGAAGTAGCCGCCTGGGTTTTTGCCATCTTCTTGCTGTTGTCAGCGCACATGAATAAGAAGAATCAGATTCCCATCCCCGCTGCCAAAAATGCCATCGATTCATTGTAAGTGGTGTCTTGTGCCCCGCGACTTCTCTGGGAAAAAACAGCAAACTGATTTTCCGTATAAATTTCCTTACTTGTGATTGTAATCAGCTTCTCTCCTCTTGTTTTTTTTTGTTTTTGTTTTTTTTTCTCCCATGCTCTCTTTTTCTTTCTTTCTTTCTTTCTTCCTTTCTTTCTTTCTTTCTTTCTTTCTTTCTTTCTGTCCTCCTTGCTTTGCATTGTGAATGGTTGCATGCCATCTGCCGGTGTAACCCTAACGATGGCTTGCTGGCTCTCTGTAACATCCGCCACCACCACCATCAACAACAACTCCAACAACAACAAACGATACTGTCCACACACACACACACACACACACACACACACACACACACACTTCACAACTGTTGCCATGGTTACCATAATGCTCCACCTACCTGTCCATTGCTACCACCTCCTTCCCTCTCCCCCCAATTCCTCCTCCTCCTCCCTTTCCCACCCTCAAAACAAAGTCCCAATGATGTACAGTGCTACGCCTGCTACTGTCTCTGCAGCAACAACTCCTGCCACAAGTGTCCCCTACGCAGCAACAGCACCAGCCAATCAGGTTTGCTCCTTTTAAAGCTTTCTTTCATCAGTCCCCGGAGCTCTGAATAAGTACTGCCTTCTAATAGTGAGCTGCAATAACCTGCAGCTGAGCCTGAGCCCACGCCCAGCCCCTCCCCATCCATCCACCCGCCTGCACTGGGCGAGCTGAGTGGGTATTTTCCAGAGAATTCATAAGCGGAGGGGCTACCTGAGCGAGCCGGTGCCGGTGCTCATGCAAAACACCAGCCCCACGAGGCGCTCCCAAACAAGTACTTCTTCAGAGCTCCCACATTTGCAAAGTAGTAGTTGTGTTGTGTTGCACTACTTCCTGGTTTTGTTTTGCATGTTCTGTTTTTTAAGTTTTATTTTCCACTTTTCTCGTTGTTGTCAAATAAGCCTCTCCATCTGCAATAGGGGGCATCATCTGTACTGCTTGTGTGCTACGCAAACACACACATCCGAGCAAATACACAGAGGCTATTTCTGCAGCACTGGTTCGTAACAGCTGCCGTGTTGTTATTGTTTTTTTCTGTTTCCACCCTTCCCAGTTTCACCTTTTTACCTTCTCCTAATCGCGGGGATAAAAGGGGGGAATTAATCATGAGAGGAAACAGTTACGGGGCGAGCTTGTCAGGGTGAGACAGACACGGGAGAAATGATCACAGAAGCTGTCTAAAAATGGCCTCTGATCGGCGGCTCTCCTGTTGCTGCGTGTCAGCAGGAGCCAGGGAAGCGGGGCCAGGTTTTTGAATGCCAGAGTGACGCATGTGTGCCCCATTTTAAACCTGGAAATTTCAGCACAATGCTGGCACTCTGGCTCCACGCAGCCGGTAATCATTTACTGGTAGTTCTGTATAGAGGTGCCTTGAGGACAAACAGATGAACAGATTAGAAGTGTTGTGCAGGTAGGAATGTGCCATTACTGGAAAAATAATCACGTCATTTACTGGATGCAATATTGTCCACATTATCACTGTTAATCCTGACTAGTACCAGTTGCAGGGACCAGTATCCTAACCTCTTTGTGTACCACTTCTTCTCACTATTCGTTCTGTCTTTCTTTGGTCTTCCTATCTGGAATTAAAAAAGAGAGGCAGTGTAAAAAACACAATCACAGGTTCATTTTCAAATTAAAAGACATCTCTGAGATGTCCCCTCGATCATCAGCCGAAGATCCGGCCCCACCACCTTGTGCTTTATTGCCCCTCATAGGCCAGAAGTGCGTGCACTTCCTGTGAGTCACCGTCTCTTCCTGTAATTGGCATGCAGCAGCAGTAGCGGCAGGAAGCAGAGCTGCTCTTTAAAGATGCATGTGGGACAAGGAGCCGGAGAAACACTGACGTCAGCCCTCGCTGTCTGTCTCCGTCTGCCCCCCCCCCTCGCCTCTCTTTCCCCCCCCCCCCCCTCCCCGCCCTGTATAAAGATCCCTCTGGCTAGGACACGGTTAATACCTCTGATCACCAGCTGTACTGCAAACAGTACATGCCTCGGTCACTACAGTTGTCCCCATTGTGATATTTTTCAGAGTAAACACCCAGATTATGATTTTTATTTTAAGTTTGTGCTAATGCTAGCTGGTTACCATCAGTTATTAGCATATCCTTTACTGTTACATGGCCTCTTTGAGACAATTTGGACAGAACTTAGTGAGAAGAATGAAATGATCATAGTGGTATTACCAAAGATGTGCCTTTGTCGTGTAATAACACCCCAATAAAATGAGACGAACACATGCAGAGAGGGAGAGGATGCTGTAGACGTGTCGAAAGGTTCAGAGTCTGGTCAATTCATGACCGTCTGAACTGTCACTGTGACACGACAAGCAGGAACCAATCACGTCATTCCATGTTCCAGCTCATAGAAACCATGTGCGAGCAGTGCTGGGGTCTCTGGCAACTGCGAGATGCTGGAGATTGTGAAGTCACAGCGCCCTCGGCTGTCTGAATACAGCATTACATCAAAGCTTTTCTATGTGAGCTGCCTGCTGAACTAATACGAAGATAAGTTGTTAGAATTAAATGGAATAGCTCTTCAGCTAGAGGAGCAGGGTTCAGTCTTTCACCTCCCTGTGGAGAGAACCTGTCGTTATTCTTATCACATTTATTAAAAATAACAGCCCAGGTCACTCACATCCGAAGCAATTAGAAGAATAATCTGATATTGATCTGTACAAAAAAGTCACAACAGTTCAAACCTCCATCATAAGTCTGTAACGCACACTTTATCATATTTATTTATCATCTGCCAGTGTGAAACATGCTTACTGCAAAATAGGCCCTTGTTTTTACCCACCTGCGGTACCAGATGGGTGGGGTGTACCCTCCTATACGTGGCTGATCCCACCCATCTGGTAGCCAGTAATATCCGCACCGCACTGTGGAGAGGGCTCTCCTCTTTGCCCGTGCACATCACACGCTCTCCACCTGTGGTGACCTTCTGTGATGTGTGATGTGACCAGTGGCTTCTGTCCTTCTCTGGCTGTCTATTGTATATTAACAAGCACCATGCTGCTTTGTACTGTGTTGGCTTGCTGCCAGTGGCAACACATGATGGCAGCCAGCAGCTCTTCTACCTGTCTCCTCCCCTACAGACAGTCTCTCTCTCTCTCTTCCTCTCCCTCTCTTTCTCTTTGGTGTGTGTTGGATTAGTCTTTATCTCCTATTGAGAGAATACACGCGGAGGTGTCCAGACCTGGGTCAAATGCTATTTGCAAATAATTAGAGGCTTTGCTCTCATCCACATGAAACAGCAGGCTATCCACCTGATGCTGATATGCCTCGGGATGCTTCAACAAAGTCCAAACAGCGCGTTGTCTGAACATGTCAAAAGGCAAAAGTGTTTTTATTTGGCCATGCTCATAGGTGGTCTCCTCCTCACTGCATCCTACAGCCTTCCTGACGTCTCTCCAAGACCCTTTAGGATTTGGACATACTTTCTGTGGACAGCTGTGGACTTGTACCAGTCACTCAGATACACACACACAGTCCAAGTCGTACTACAACTGAGGGTCTACGTCAGTCCGGCATTCGACGCATGCGCATATCCCCATCCAGGCTCCATTCCAGCTGGTGGCGGTAATGAACCATAGCATTGTTGGCCAACTGCCATTAAAATGGAGAGGAAGAAGCACATCAGGAGAGAAAATGGCCACAAATCAAAGCACAAGATATAATGATAGATACATAGATAGGTTGGTAGGTAGGTAGGTAGGTAGGTAGATGGATAGATAGATAGGTAGATAGATAAGTAGGTAGGTAGGTAGGTACTTAGATAGATAGATAGTTAGATAGATAGATAGATCAGTAGGTAGGTAGATGGATAGAAAGGTAGATAGAAAGGTAGGTAAGTAGATAGGTAGGTAGGTAGGTAGGTAGGTAGAAAGGTAGATAGATAGGTAGGTAAGTAGAAAGGTAGCTAGATAGGTAGGTAGGTAGGTAAGTAGAAAGGTAGATAGGTAGCTAGATAGAAAGGTAGATAGAAAGGTGGGGAAGTAGAAAGGTAGATAGATAGGTAGGTAAGTAGAAAGGTAGATAGGTAGATAGAAAGGTAGGTAAGTAGAAAGGTAGATAGGTAGGTAGATAGAAAGGTAGATAGAAAGGTAGGTAAGTAGAAAGGTAGATAGAAAGGTGGGTAAGTAGAAAGGTAGATAGATAGGTAGGTAAGTAGAAAGGTAGATAGATAGGTAGGTAAGTAGAAAGGTAGATAGAAAGGTGGGTAAGTAGAAAGGTAGATAGATAGGTAGGTAAGTAGAAAGGTAGATAGGTAGATAGATAGAAAGGTAGATAGAAAGGTAGGTAAGTAGAAAGGTAGATAGGTAGATAGATAGAAAGGTAGATAGAAAGGTAGGTAAGTCGAAAGGTAGATAGTTAGGTAGGTAAGTAGAAAGGTAGGTAGGTAGGTAAGTAGAAAGGTAGGTAGGTAAGTAGGTAGGTAGAAAGGTAGATAAATAGGTAGACAGGTAGATAAGTAGATGGATGGATAGATAGATAGATAGATAGATAGACAGACAGACAGACAGACAGACAGACAGAGGAAGTTGTTTCTCTCTTTGGAGTGATTTGTGTTGGGAACATGATTCCGCAACGATCTGACCCAACTACAAAACCCAACTTGATATAACAGCTCCCGTAGCTCCTTTTGTGAGAAAGTAGCTACCAGCTAGCCGAAGAATGAATCAAGGCCCGACCTGCGCTACCAACAATGTATGTTCCCTTGTTGGTAGTTAGGTAGACCATTTTTCTAGACAAATCAATCAAATCAAATTAATTTTTCTCTGTGTGAAAAGGAATGGACTCAATGGGAACATTGGCAAGTTTGCAAACTCATGTGCTAAATAAGACTAAAGCAAACAAACTGTAGGTTTGAAAATGCCTTAAGAGACGCTTGTGTTCTGTTTTCTTTCACATCTCCAAACACCTGGCCAATCAGAGCCAGGATCTTAAAGTTATTAAAAGGTTGTTCGATGATCTGACACGCACTTTGAAGCACATCGAGGCCTCAAGTAGGCAGAAAAGGCAAATAGTGTTTGACCCAGATCACACCAAACACAATAAAGGCATTGATTCTATGTACTTAAGTTGTTACGTATATTCTTATATGACATTTTACATGTGAATAAACAGTTTCTCTCTTACAGGTCCACTAAATATATCTCTCCTTGTGCTCCCTCCGTCCTCCTCTTGTTTCTATCTCCCTGTCTCCGTCCTGCAGATCATCCTGAAGTAAGTGTCAGGAAGGGAACGGAGTGTCACGAAGCTGCACTAGGAAACCCAAAACAGCCCCTGTGTAAATACTACCTTGCCTCTCCCGTAGAGGTCCAGCAACCTGCATGCTAAGAGTGTAACACTTCAATTTAACCGTAAGAACTGCAGTGCCGGTGTAACACACACATAAAAAAAAAAAAAAAAAGATATATACTGTATGTATTGCTAGAAAAAAAAATTAACATGAAAAAGTCAAAAATATTCTTATGTATAGTACTACATACATAGCAGACACACTATAGAGGTCATTTTAACAACTGTTCTCCCAAAGTACCGTGGATCCCCTCTCTTTCATATTTATTCTAAAAGAACGCTGCACAATGTTCATCCCTTTGGTTAGTCAAAAACAAGACGCTTGATTTGCACTATACGAGACATATAGTGCGAAATGTTCGAGTGGGAAACAGGAAGAGTCACAGAAAACCTCCGTGCACAACCACACCAACACCAACGCACTCGGCGCTTTCAAGAGTGTTCTCGTCGTTTGCTTTCCTCTCTACAAAGTTGAATGTCCTTGGGGCAGACAGGCTCATGTTTTCTTAATGTGACTGTCCCTGCGAGGGTACCTTCATGACCCTCGTCTGCCCCAGATGCTGTTAAGATGCCATGACGAAGCTTATCCTCCCCTCCCCCCCTGCCAACTCATCATCTCCGGAAACATCTTGCCAAAGTTGAAGAGGTCGGTGGACTCAACCTGCCAGAAAGCAGAGCATTTTAACACCCTGATAAAATTCTTTTTTGTTTTTCTTGCCATTGCGAAAGCTGCTCACAACGCACCCTTTATTTGTTTCGGTGCTGGGTTCAGTTCTTTGTTGAGGAGGAGTGGTGGGATAGATTGTGCACGGATCTCTGCATGCAGGCAGTCGGGACTGGGGGACGACAGTGCCCGGTGTTGACGGAAGATAGTCGTGGCCATTACCGAAAAGCCTAAAGGCTCGGGTCTGTGCCAAGGGCTTAACAAAGCTTGAGGGATCGTTCCAGACATACCAAGCCTTGTGTGTGTGTGTGCATGTGTGTTCGTATCTGGATGGTCTGCCGGCAGACTGGGACTTGAAGTGAGGTCTAGCAGGTGATGGCAACACCAGGCCCGGTAGGAGAGGTTTTCGGGGGGTGGGTGAGGGGACTTAAGTGCTAAGACTAAACAAAAAAAAAAAATCGGTGCATTTGACGACGCTCGTCAAGCAAAAGATGACTTGAACTTCGACTGGAGGGCTATCTGTGACCGTCGGTTGTCCTGTCCAACCCTACTATCACCGATAATCCTGTTCCATTTTAGAAAACTGTAGAAGTGCCTAAAAAATGCTCATCATCAACACGTTCATCCAGAGTGTATCACTAAAAGTCACAGACACAACACACTGGCTGTCGGAGGCGGCTTGGACTTTTTCGGGAAAGACATCACATCCAATCGTTGCCGGACACAGTTACCCGGTAACCGTTCATTAACATCACAAGTGACTTTATCGAAACAAAAGAAGTTAAAGAAACGACAAATCAAAAATAGCTTTGTAGAATGTTTGGTGACTTTCACGGTGTACCATCGTTTCTTACCATGGTTTGAGTAGTTTACATGAGGAACGTGAGTGCGAAAAAAAAATGTATTGTAAACTGTGTAATGTATGTAAAGTGTCTCTTATTTTGAGAGTTTATATTCATGGTTCTAGAAATGTATTCAAAGTTATTTAAAAATTTGTGTTGTGTCTGCTATCAAGGTATTTTTGAACCCCAAAACCCTCCACCATCTCCACCTCCACTACCACCCAGAACAATCATTTGTCTTTTAGCCATTGTTTTATTCTTTTAGACCAACCCTCCCGTTATATTTAACTCATACTAAATCTTATTTCAAAAATTCTGATGTAATCCCATGGTGCTTGATTAACATCGACAATCCACAATCATACCTTTGGACGGAGTGCTCCACTCTGGTTTCATCCACTCTGATTGTCTCCACACGCATTATGATTTGTATGTAATATTTGTGGAAGGTGGTGAAAGTTTTATTTTGTTGTAATTTATCTTACGTTACTCTTGGTCAAAATTTTAGTCAAAAACAATGTTGTTAACTATTCTATTTTGAAATGAATGTAATTTATTGAGCTGTGCTACGTTCTGCACGGTTGGTCATTTCAAGGTCTAACCTGTCAGGTCAGCGAATGAGAAGTCGCGCACATGTCTGAGGGGTGGGGCTTTAAAAGCCGGCCCACCAATAGGAAAAAGCTACTGGATCTTTCTTGCCTTCTCATCGATTATAAAGATCACGGTGTTGCAGTAATGAGCATAGTTATAGAGTTGCTTGTGTTGTTGGAAAAAAATGTTTATTGTATAGATGACATTTTACCAAAAAAAGAGACGAAAATTTCAAAAAAGATGTACTTTTCACTCTAGTATAATAGTATTTCATAACAATATTAAGTTGTTGCTGTGGCAACCAAATGTTGCAATTACTAAAGTTCGGTATTTTTGTAAATGACATTGTTAAGTTGATTTTTTGTTTGTTTTTGCTAGAACACTGTACACAAGGTAGATTGTAAAGAAGATATGAACATTTCTTATTCTTCACTGAGATTATGACAATGACCTAATATTTTCATTAGCAAATAACAGCCTGTATAGTGCTGTGACTGTAACACTTCAATAGATTTAAAGTCATCAATGTTACATAGATTATATATAAATATATATATATAAGAACTAAATAATCTATAAATTAATAAGTTCAGATGTACAACTCTTCCCCTGACAAAGGACCTTTAGGTTCCACACTGAGACATTTTATTCGAGGCATATGTATCACTAGAGTTAAGGATTGCACTTTTCATATTGTTTAAAGATGTGATCTGTTTTTTAATTTCCTTCGAGGGTTTAGCTGCGCCCTGCTCGTACAGTCAATCTGTTCATCAATCAAAAAGCAGACACCACCGGTAAATAACTTCAATTCAACATGTTGCATGACAAAACGAGATTTTCTTTTCTTACTAAACGATAACGTACTGAATGTTTCTAGTGAAAAAAAAAAAAGTCCCACGACGCCCTTGTGTATGGAATCCTCTTGAGATGTAATGTTTTTTTGAAATGTGTCGGCAATGATTGACTGATGGGAAAAAAAATATGTAAGCACTTTCTGAGCAGTTGGTCAACTGAGCAGACTCAGCTTATCCAAACACTTTGCCTTATCTTGAGTCCATCGTGCTTAAGGTTTTATGTTTTTAAGAGCTCTTATGAAATCTATTAAAGAGACCTAAAGGAGTCTCGTTTTTCAAACCCCTTCTCAGTTTCATTTCAAATATCTTTATATCAAAAATCATGTTTTCTAGGGTATTAATGCACACATCACAAGGCCAAAAGGGGGCGACTGCAACAGGAAGAACAGTCATGAATCCTTTCCTCTGGTCTCCAAAATCTGTAGTGAGATTTTCTTTTGTCCCATTGCCTTACAATGGAACTGCTCAGAGTGTGTAATTCGCAGCTTTAGCCACCAGAGGGCGCTACACTGGAGACCACAGGGTATGAATTGTGACTGCTTGTGCCATCATTGTTGCAGTGTGCCCCACCAACAAAGTAAAGATGTAAAGATGAATTGACAAGATGACCCTCATTGGATTTATAGTTTCAATGTAATCATTTTTAAATGTATTCTTTTTGCATATATTTTGTGCTATTTTATGTTTCTATAGTCAAATGTTTCTTTGGTTCCAGCAAGATAGTGTAAAATCTATTGAAAGAAAGAAATAAAGAAAATCAAAAGAACGTGGTGTCTGGATGTTATTTGTGTCACGTAAAGGTCCTGGTTGTGGAGTATAAAACTGAGCAATCAGGACCTTGACTGTGAGATTTTGATGGTCCCTATTTTCCCCTCTCAAAGACCCTCTTGGTCCCTGAAGTCCACTTTGGGAACCTCTGCCATATAAGTAAATAAACAGCAGATGAGAGCCTAATTTGAACAACGTTCCTGGTTGTGGCAGCTAATTGGCTCTGAGACTTAAGGGTCTAAACGATGCTTTCATTAAAGAAGGTCTGAGCCTCCGCAATTAAGTTTTTACCACAGATGTTGAAGATGATGATAAGACCTTGGACCAGGACAAGCAAACTCTTTCATTTGTTGTTCTCTGTGTCATTTCCTGTGAACTGCAGTGGAGCATTTTTTGAATAAAGTAAAAGAAAAAAAAGTCTATATGAGGGGTCAATGATGCCACTATGTTGGTGGCTATTGTGTAATTAGTGTACAGGTAGAGCGTCTGGGAGACTGATGGACTTCTGTGACCTTCAAGGTGAGTGTCACACAACTGAGAGACAGATATGTATAGTTGCAGCCCTTTGGACACACCCTAATAAACCATGCCCTCTAACAGTACATGATAAACCCACCAACACAACCGTTGTTAGAACCTTGTTACACCATGATGTTGAAGTGAATAAACGAGGCTAAACGTTGTATATCTACGTCATTTGCCATATACATAACAAGATGTTAGCCTTACCCCAACCTTAACTGCCTCTCTTTTAACTTAAAACTTCATTGCTAGCTAAATGCCAACTTCGCATTTTCTCTACGGTTTCCACTTCTGGACGAAGGGGCGAAAGGTGCCAATCGTGCCCTAGCTGCAGCCATGCCTACTTTGCTGGTTATGTCAGGAGGCTAGATGTGTTAGCCTTGCTAGCTTGTCCACGTGTACTGTTTGCGGGGAAACGCTAGGGTCTAGGTACCATGTCTGAAGGGTTATTTTTGGTTCCAAAGGCACTGTACTGAAAGTGTTTGGTGTAAACAGGGCGTTAGAGTAGTGAAAACACACAGCTGTTCCTTGGAAATTTTACTTTTACTTTGAAAGAAAAAGTCAGTAAAGCCTCTAATCAACCGAAAGCTTTACTTTTGCAGTTCTATTTAGATCTGACAAATTGTGCTCAGGATAAAAGACTGATCATAAGAAACAAATTGAGGACTTGCAATGAGTCTACCGTCCCTCCAAAGTACGACGTAAAATATGACGTGATAACAGTCAGCATGGCCCAGACAAGAGCTAAAGTCTGGGACGTGGGACTTGCTTTCAGCTCCGACCAACTATGGTTGCAGTGCTAAATTCTCAAATGTCTATCGTACCATGAAAATCTCAAACCATCACAACCCTACTACAAACAATCAACCACGATTTTCCTTGTTTTTGCCCCTAAATTTAAGCAAGCCTTCCCAGTTTGGACGTCAATATGACATCAGAGAGACTTTGGTCTCTTAAGCCTGACAGATGTTAAATTTTGTTCGGAATTAAACTCAGGTTGACAATACGTTAAACGTCCAACTATGTTAGAATCTCACGTTGTGCGGATGTTAACATTAAGACGTTTTGCAGACAATGGGTTTTGTTCTTCATATGTTACGACTGAATGTCCTTACTCTACATCAAGATGATGTTGGCACAAGATGTTTGGAAGACATTGGATTTTGGTAACTTAACAACACAACTTAAAACCTACAGAATATCAACGTCAGCTGTTGTCAGTATTTATCGTCAAATTGAAGTTGGCATAGACGTCCTTTTTTACTATGACAGTTTTATTGAACTTTAAACCTCTCAAAGCTATGAACAGGCGTGTAACCAACTGTTAGCTGAACACAACCCTTTCTGTTAACGTCACACTGGTGGGAAGTAGTAGCTAGGTACTTAAATACAGCAAGAAATATTTTACTGTTATTCAGATGGTAGCCGGAGTCACTGACTGATTTTTTTTTTTTTTTATTCTTTAAAGAACAGAATGAGAAAACAATTCATTATACGGCTGAAAGTCAACAAATACAACAATAACAGAGAGCCAGGGACGATACCACACTACACAAAGATATTATAAGATATACAAATATCAGTATGTACCTTAATGTTATCCAATGTCAAGTCTTTGATCATGTGACGAGATGATATGCGTCATAAAACATGCACTGGGGCCCATCATAGCAACCTGACCTCACTGGTCTTGATAGCAGTTTCATGTAGTGTTCAACATCATTCAGAAAAACACCAATATGAGGTTTATTAATTGCCAAATTTGCATTTATGGATAAATACTTTGCCAGAATCATTAGCAAGTTGATTATAAGAGGTTGGCATAGACGTCTTGACATTGAATTTTGGTCACATGATATTACAACTTAAATGTATTTTTATTTTTTTAATTGAGATTTATAACAAATTTGGAGGGCACTGTGCAATATAGGTGCCAAATCAGATTTTTGTTATAATAGGGTATATGTGTTCAAGCTATGATTTGTATTGCGGGGTAATTTTACTAGTGTTATCTTTATAGATTTGTTGGTGTCTCCTCTGATGATGTAATTTTCAAAATAATAGCAGCTAATTTCACAGCTTATCAAAAATAAAAATGATTTACACTTTAATCTCCTGTTTATTTCCATCATGATAAGCCTGCTTCTCTTACGTCTTTCTTGCCCTTCTGCTTCCCCTGTCGCCATGTGGCACTAATCGCCCTCCATATCTTCCAGGAAATAGTAACATCCAGTGGATGCACCGACTCCAGACTCCAGAGGCGTGGATTCCCAGCACTGTAGCCTCCTTAAGGATAAATAGGCTCTTTGCCTTAACTGTACTGTACCCCACTGTGCCGACAAATGTAGTGCTAGCCTTCTGTTTTGTCGGCACAGAAAAAGATGTGCCGTCTCGTTGCTTCTAATAATAGCCAATCTTATTTTTACCACACCGACGCCTTATTGCATTATGGATGCCTCTGGAATGGTGTCCCTGCAAGATAGCGTGGGAATATCTCAGTAGAGGCTGTGACTCTTCATCTCAGGGCTAAATGCTCCAGCATCCCGCCTATAGCTGCATCTCGTTTACCGCAGGCTGTTACTGTGTCATGGCTGTAGTGTGAGGAAACACTACTGTTCATGGGGATGCGTCTCAGTGATCCGCTGCTGTAAGACTTTATTCTCTGCATGCCGGATTCAAGTGTTGAGGGGCGCTATGCGGGAGTATAAGGTGGTGGTGCTCGGCAGCGGCGGGGTGGGGAAGTCCGCCCTCACCGTCCAGTTTGTCACCGGGACATTTATAGAGAAGTACGACCCGACCATTGAAGATTTCTACAGGAAGGAGATCGAGGTGGACTCCTCGCCGTCGGTGCTGGAGATCCTCGACACAGCCGGCACCGAGCAGTTCGCCTCCATGAGGGACCTTTACATCAGGAACGGCCAAGGCTTCATCCTGGTCTACAGTCTGGTCAACCAGCAAAGTTTTCAGGACATCAAGCCCATGAGAGACCAGATCATCAGGGTGAAACGGTGAGACACTTCTTCATATGAAGCACCTTTGTCTTGTTCATATATTCTGATGCAGTAGGAGGTTATTCATCCTGTTTTAGGCCCTAAAATAGTCACATCCTTGGGACAACAAAAGAGGAGTCATTGATTTATAGTGAGATTAAATCAAATCCTGCTGGAGTACCCCCGGGAACCTCCCAAGGGCCTCTAAAATTCCCCACATTCCACATATAGAACCACAAAAAATGCATGCTTTCTTTTCACAATTAGGCCCAGGACTCATCCCAAACTTGCATCCTCTCATCCCCCTCCTCTTCCGCCCTGTCTGGATCCCCTCCTGCGCTGCGTGAGAAGCTGCGACCAGCTCATATGTTCTTCATAAAAGGCCCAGCTGTGGCTCACCTGTCATATATCAACCCGCTGAACTCTCGCTGGGTTTGATATTCTCTGTCTCTCACACATGACTAACTCTGGATGGCTTTGATCAGCGCAGGCCATTACTCAACAAACCCACTGAGCTCATCTCACGGCTGCGAGAGAGAGGGAGGGAGAGAGAGTGGAAGGAAAACTGTGATGTTTCCTTGTGGTGGTGACATATTGGTGTTCTTGGCTTCGAGCGGCCCTTAATTTGTTTAATGACACTGACAGACTGCAGCTACGACTACAGTCTGTAAGTTAAGGATCTGGTTTTTAGTTAGAAAAAGCTTAATGTTATAAGGGCTTGAATAGATTATGTCTAATAGTTTCGATGCCATGTAAATAATTCATTTAACTTAATGCTGTTAAAGGAAAAAAACAGTCAATTTGGGAGACTGGTGGCCTATGTACTCACCCCCCCCCATCCCTGTTTTGTTCAAAGTAAAGACGACTAAACAAATATAGGCCAGGGGCGTATAACTGGGGTGACCAATGGCACCTTCCCTACTTCCCACCCCTTGCTTGGACCACGCCCATCTTCACACTTGACCTTCATTTTGATCTCAGTTACACGGTCTAGCGTTGCAACGTCAAAGCGTCTCAGAAATATCGCAGTTTCATGGTATCACGGTCTCACAGAATTTATATTATTATCAATCAGACTGAGCCTTAAAGGAATGAAAATGGAAGTGTCATATTTGGTTGAACAAACTAGGGCTGTAGTCAACCAAAGAAATCTAACTATTCGAGGCGTATGTATCACTAGAGTTAAGGATAACGTTGCACATAATCTTCAACTAATCGATTAGTCGTGGGGGAAAAAAATCTGCATGTTATTTTTACTTGTGCAGCGGTGTGTCTGTGTCACTCTGCTGTTACACCTCCAGAACACTAGTTGGCGGTGGAGGACTGTGTTAAGTGCTGTAAAGTTTAGTTCAAATCAAACTTTATTTATATAGTTGATTCAAAACACACATTAAACACACATTAAACATGGCTTAATAGAGACAATTTCAAACACAAGTACACAAATCAGCTTCACTATAACTCACAGCATTCACAGACAAACACTTGTCTTTATCTGGACACATTTTCCCCACAAATACAACATGCTAACGTTATTAGCACAAGCCTATGGCGTTTTACATTGTATAAATTAGCCTAGCTTCTAGCGATCTTTTCCTCCTACAAAGGTAACGTTACATAATTTGGCTCCATTACAACCCAAAACATTCACTGACAAAACAACTGTCTTATATTCAAAACGTTTTCCAAACAAATACAACATGCTAACGTTATTAGCGCCAGCCTATGGCATTTTACATGGTATACATTAGCCTAGCGACAAGCAGAGAGAAATCCGTCCACAGACGGACAGTCACACTAACACCTGGCAAAGTACTCCAAACTGCCTCTGTGGTAGTTCCCGCTGCAGTTGGTATCACCAGGCCTGCTTCTTGCCATGACGACACACACAGACTCGTGATGTAAAAAGAATGCTAGGGTGGCAAAAATACTTAAAATGAAAATTAAGAAGTGGTGAACTTTAAGTATCAAAGATACCGTTATGTTGACATATATTTCATTGGCCATCGTATTCAAGTGATGACCACTGTGAGGCCTAGTAGTCCCCTCTGGACCCCGCAATGGGAGGCTACCTAGAAAGTGTCTAGGATAAAATGTGTTTTGCACAACGAGATGCTCAAACACACGGACTGCTTCTCTCTCCATTTGTGAACATTTTTGATCATCAGTTTTAGCACACTGGGTCTTATTTGCGTAGGTATACGGAAGTAGTTGAAAGCTGAACCAGGTTCGGTGTCGGCCTGTAAACTGTGACGAACATTTACAACAGTTTGCTTGATAAACTTAAAATAACATGAGACCTGTCTGTTTATTCACCAGGTGCAGCTAGGTGATGGTTAGCTTAGCATAAAGACTGGAGGCAAGGGGAAAACAGCTAGCCTGGCTCTGTCCGAACCACAGAAACAAGGACGTAGATTTCGTTTCAAGGGGGGATGGCAGTCCTACCCTAGGAAATTTTGAGTTCTAAATTTGGGTGTACATGCTCTTAATATGTGTCCCCCGTGTTTCCCCCGAAAACTAAGCCCATGCGCGTGAAAATCTAAGTGTACAATCTAGGGGTGGGAATCACCAGAGGATCCACGATACAATAATATCACAATACTTAAGTCACGCTACAATTTTATTGCGATTTTAAATATGTTGCGATATGCTGAGTATTGCGATAAAATATATTGCGATATATTGGGATGTAATACATTTTTTTAACAATGATATTTTGTAGGTTTGTCAACATCTGTTTTATCGAATAAGATAACGTTTTCAGTCTGTTCGTCACATTTCAGTCGTTTTGTTGCAGCAGCAAAATGTATCTAGTGGACTGAAAAAGCACTTGATTATATTATTCTGGCCGGCTACCTAAAGTTTAATATGTTTTTGTAATATTAATCATTTATACAAAACAAAAAATCAATACTTGGCACTGTGTGACGATTAGATATCGCCACACAAGAATATGGCCCCTTATACAAAATAGAAGTTGTGTTTTAATGGGGGTGCAGTAACCTTTCATGACATCACAGTGAGGTTGCCAGGCAACCAGCTGAGACGCAAAGAGGTCCCCCATAGTACAAAACTACGAGTAAATGTACGAGGTTGTCCTTTAACCTGCAGGTTGGCTGTCAGTATAAAAGGGTGTGTCTGTGTCTTTTTCTTGTCTCCATGCTGTGTTCCTCCTGTTAGTTCTATCTCTTGTGCAATTCACAGCCTTTCATCTGTAAAATACGCTGCGACACATTTATTTATCTAACTGCATATTGTGTAATAATAATTCATAATTTAACCTGCAGAGTTTGCTGCAGTGCTTTTCACCTCCATCCCCCTGGAGTGAATCGAATGCTCAGACGTCACAGGCCAAGTGAAGGCATGAGAGCGTCACAGCTGACGAGGCGCAGCGGGGACGAGTGCATGAGGGAACTCCTTTGAAATGAAAAATATAACGATGGATAAAAACTGTGCTGTGCTGCCTCCAGCCAGCCGCCACCCCGATGCGGCTGCCTACACTGCACCAGCCACCGCTGTCCTCAAGTGTATATCTATAAATATTTCATACTTTTTACATCACACTGCTCTGCGTTTGAAGTCGGGATTGTTGCTGCATGTTTTATTGCATTAGGCTATATTTTGTGTCTCATTTCGGTGCATGCAGTGGGACATTTTGAGCACAGAAAATACTTTGTGGGGACATCACATTTTGTGTAGCAATATTTGTCTCGGTGCAGACACATGCAATATTATTATCAGTTCATTTAAGGATAGGCTGAGTTGGTCATTTAAACACATACAGACACCCACCCATCGTCCGTCCCTATTAAAACACGCAACACAATCAGCTCCTGGTCTCCATTAGCTGTCTCCAGGAGATCAGCCTCCCTCCTCCCAAACTTCTCGCTGAGCCAGCAGCAACAACAAGCACCACGCAGAGATATAGTATGTGCCCACTCACCAGAACTTAATGGGATTGTGTTGGGTTGGAAGCCAAGAAGACATCAGGCCTCCATTAGGGAGTCATATAAACCAGAATGCTTATGCAGGGGGTGGGAGCTGCGGGGGGAGCATGGGAAAGAAGTGGGATCTTATATGTTACTGCTCTGTGAGGTGCAGGTGTCATGAGGCAATGGTCTGCAGTCCACATATCACCTTAGTGCTGACTTGTATGCACGAGGATGTGCAGGGAGAAGCAGGAAATACAATTAGAGTAACAGTTCGACATTTTGGGAAATACACTTACTGCTGTCTTGCCAAGAGTTAGATGAGAAGATTGAAACCACTCTCGTGACTGTGCTTTAAATATTTAATCAGAGCTCGTGGCCAGTTAGCTTAGCATAAAGACTTTAAATGGCTAGCCTCATTCTGTGCAAAGGTAACAATGTCTGCTACTACCCAGCTGACCTCCAATTCTTGGTTTAATTTAGGTTGTGATGTCAGGTGACCAAAGTTCAATGTCAGGACGATGTCCAATGCCAATGACAATTTAACGTAGAGTACTGACAACGGTTGACGTTAATGTTTCATTGGTTTTAAGTCGTGTTTTAAAGTAATCAAAATCCAGTGTCTTCCAAATGTCTCATGCCAATGTCATATTAACATCCACACATCAAATTCTAACGCCACTAGACATTCAAAATATCGTCAACTCAATTTTCGTTCTAGCCAAAAGTTAACGTACGTCTATCGTGAGAGTCCAGCGTCTGCCGGTTGGATAGCACCTGTAAGGCTCGCTAATTTAACACATTATATCTCATTTGTTTAATCTGTACAAAAACTGAAGTGTAAAAACAATCGACCATTTTACAAGGTGTTTCCATTTTGTGTGCTAAGCTAAGCTAACCAGATTCTAGCTCCAGCTAAGTACAGCATTTGTCTTGGCAAGAAAGTAAAGACAAAAGAGATACAGCGTTGGAGGCGGGGCCCTGTTCATTTCTATGAAAGTTGCTCAGTGGTGCATGGAGCCAAAAAAGCTTGAGGAAGATTTAAGTCAAAGACAACTTTATTTCAATTTGCAGTATTATATTTGGCGG